CAGCATTGTGTAAAATGTGTATTTTTCAGCTAAGCTATAGGTACTTAAGGAAATAAAACAAGACTATCACCTTATAGTTTTTTTAAATTTTACTCTTAATTTATTTTCAATTCTAATTAGTATTTTATATATTACAGTTATTCCTGATTGGAGTTTATTCTATCAATCATTGACTTTTTTAGCATTTTGTACTCTTGATATTGAATCCAGTATCCTAATTCATAAAACCTTTTTTGTGCTTTTAATAGAATCTATTTTTAAAGTAATTATAGGTTCACAGCAAAATTGAACAGAAGGTACAAAAATTTCCTATATAATCCTGATCCCACTCACACATAGCCGGCCTATCAACATTTCCCACTAGAGTGGTATATTTATTACAATAGGTGACCTTACATTGACTCATCATTATCACCCAAAGTTCCTAGTTTTTACATTAGCATTCACTGTTGGTACCACAAATTCTATGAGTTTAAACAGATTTACAATGGCATATATTTTATACAATGTAATTGCACTACCATAAAAATCCTCAATACTTTTTCTGTTCATCTCCCCTTCTCCCCGCATCCCTAGAAACCACTGATTGTTTTACAGTTTACATAGTTTCACCTTTTACAGACTGTCATGTATTCCGAAATGGAATCTAGGATGAAATCTTGCAGTATATAACCTTTTCAGATTACCTTCTTTAACTTAGTAACATGCATTTAAGTTCCTCTATGTCTTTTTATGCCTTGATAGCTCATTTTTAAGTACTGAATAATATTCCCTTGTCTGGATGGATCACAGTTTATTTATCCATTCATCTACTGAAGGACGTCTTGATTGTTACCCTGTCTTAGCAAATATAAAAAAGCTGCTATAGCATTCATGTGCAGGAATTTGTGTGGACATATGTTTTTGACTCCTTTGGGTAAATACCAAAGAGCTTGATTGCTGGATCATATAGTAGAATGTTTAGTATTGTAAGAAACCTCCAAACTGTCTTCCAAAGTGGCTGTGCTATTTTTCATTGCCACCAGAAATGAGAGGTCACTTTGCTCCATATCCCTGTCAGCTTACGGTTTTGTTCTTGTTCTTGGATTTTGGCTATTCCAGTAGGTGTAGTGGTATCTCATTGTTGTTTAATTTGTAATTCCCTGATAACATGATGGTGAAACACATTTTCATTTGTAATTTGCTATCTGCACACTTCCTTTGGTGAGGTGTCTGTTAAGATTTTTTGCCCGTATTTTATTATTATTATTATTTTTTGAGATGGAGTTTCTCTCTTGTTGCCCAGGCTGGAGTGCAATGGCGTATTCTTGGCTCACCACAACCTCCGCCTCATGTGTTCAAGCGATTCTCCTGCCTCAGCCTCCCAAGTAGCTGAGATTACAGGCAGGTGCCACCACACCCAGCTAATTTTTTGTATTTTTAGTAGAGACAGAGTTTCACCATGTTGGCCAGGATGGTCTCAATCTCTTGACCTCGTGATCCACCTACCTCAGCCTCCCAAAGTGCTGGGATCACAGGCATGAGCCTCCGTGCCCGGCCTGCCCGTATTTTAATTTGATTTTGTTACTGAGTTTTAAGACTTGTTTGTGTATTTTGTATAATAATTCTTCGCCACATAATGTCTTTTGTAAATATTTTCTTTGAGTCCGTGGCTTTTCTTTTCATCCTCCTGGCAGCATCTTTCACAGAGCAGAACATTTTAATTCAGTAGTATTCAACTTACTAATTCTTTCTGTCGTGGATCATCCCTCTGGTGGTGTACCTAAAAAACTATCAACAAACAAAAAGTCATCTCTGTTTTCTCCTATGCTATCTTCTAGGAGTTTTATAGTTTGTCGTTTTACTCTAGAGTCTGTGACTGATTAATTTTGAATTAATTTTCTGAATTATAAACACCACAATTGCTTTCAAGCAGTTACACAAATTTCTAAATTCAGTGAAAACATTGTATTTATTTATGGTATTATTTTTTCATTTTTTTATTTTTTATAATTTCAACTTTTGTTTTGGATTCAAGAGTAAATGTACTGGATTCTTAAATGGGGATATTGTGTGACACTGACGTTTGGTGCTGAGCATAGTATTCCATAGCTAGTGTTTTGGCCCTTTACCCCTCACTCCCTCTCCACGCTAGCAGTCCCCAGTGTTTCTTGTTCCCATCTTTATGTCCATGTGTACCCGAGGAAACATGATTTTTAACCATAATGCTGTGTTCCACCAAAATATATCTTGATGTTAATTTATTTGATTGATTGATTGATTTTTGAGACAGAGTCTTACTCTGTCTTCTAGGCTGGAGAGCAATGGTGTATTCTCAGCTCACTGCAACCTCTGCCTCCTGGATTCAATCGATTTTCCTGCCTCAGCCTCCTGAGTAGCTGGGATTATAGGCACCTGCCACCACACTCAGCTAATTGTTTTTGTATTGTTAGCAGAGACGGGGTTTCACCGTGTTGGCCAGGCTGGTCTTGAACCCCTGACCTCAGGTGATTCACCTGCCTCTGCCTCCCAAAGTGCTGGGATTACAGGCATGAGCCACCGCACCCAGCCCATGTTATCATTTTTACAAGGAATATATTAAATGTTGAAATTTTCAGGTGAATTTGTGATAAAATTCACAATAATGTCAGATATTTCACCATCAAGAGTATAAACTTTTAATGAAATTGATCCAATGAATAACATGAAAATAGGTTAATTGGAATTTAAAAAAAGAAGGGTGTAAGATTTATGTCTATAGCATTTTTCTTTTTGGCATGTAGATGTTAGGTTATTCAGGGCCATTTGTTGAAAAACATTTTCTCCCTTTGTTTCTTTGTCAAAGATAAATTGATTATATTTATGTGCGTTTATTTCTGAACTTCCTTTTCTGTTCCATTGATTTACCTGTCTATTCTTTTGCCAATATTACTCTGTCTAGATAACTGCAGTTTTATATCAAGACTTGAAGTCAGATATTGTCAGTTCTCCCACTTACAAAACTCTTTAAAATAAATTTTTATAAAAACCTTCATTCACGCCAGGCACAGTGGCTCATGCTTGTAATACCAGCACTTTGGGAGGCTGAGGTGGGCAGATTATGAGATCAGGAGTTCGAGACCAGCCTGGCCAACATGGTGAAACCCTGTCTCTATTAAATTAGCCAGGCGTGATGGCACACACCTGTATTTCCCAGCTACTCAGGAAGCTGAGACAGGAGAATTGCTTGAACCCGAAAGGCGGAGGTTGCAGTGAGCAGAGATTGTGCCACTGCACTCTGACCTGGATGACAGACTGAGACTCCATCTGAAAAAAAAAATTTCATTAATTTATAGCTCTTTCTTTAAATTAGAGAGTCTTTTCAGGTATGTAAAAATATATGGGTTATTATGTAAGCATTTCCATAATTTAATGTGCTTGGTAAATAGTCTTGTGTAGATGATTACTTTTTCCTCTGAAACTATTTCTGATATTGCCATGTTATATGACAGAGTTTCCCTCAGTTGGGCAGGATAGAGTGCAATGACATGAACATAGTTCATTGCAGCCTCGGACTTAGTGGGCTGAAGCAGTCCTTCTGCGTCAGCTTCCTGAGTAGCTGGAACTACAGGCTCATGACACCATGCCTGACTCATTTTTTTAAATTGTTATTTTTTTTGAGATGGAGGTCTCCCTATTTTGACTAGGCTGATCTCAAACCCCTGGCCTCAAGCAATCCTCCTGTCTAGAACTTCGGAGTAGCTAGTATTACGGGACTATCTTCTAATGATTTGCATTTAAAGGAATATACTAGATGTGCACTATACAATTACAATTAACACCAGTCAATGTAACTTTTAAATTTTAAATTAACTAAAATAAATAAAATTTGATTAAATTAAATATTATTTTCAGTCACACTGACCGCCTTTCAAGTGCTCAATACTCACGTGTGGTTATTGGCTATTGCATTGGATGACAGATATAGAACATTTCCATTCTTGCACAAATTTCTACTCAACAATGATGTAGATTGTGCATGTATCTTTTATTTGCTCTCCCATCTGTACTCCAGTATTATACCTGGAAATATTTTTTAGATGTCTGTGGATGTAAATAAAGTCTTAAAATATAGTCAGATATAGAATAACATTCTGCCTCAAATTTAAGAGAAATCTTTGTTATAATATCATTAAGTCACAGACATGTTGTTCTTAGTAAATTTCAATTGCATTATAGTTTTTCTTTGAATAGTTATGTTTTAGGACATATACATTGTGAAAGTCACATCTTCTTAATGATTACAGTAATGTAGTTCTACTGTATCATGGTTTAAAATTTATGTCTCCATAGTAATATTATTACCTAACTCAACAGTGTGAAGTGCTGGTTATTATTAACTTACATGATTTTGTATTTGTTGTTCAAAATTTAACTCTTAGGAGAAATAAAGGAATTTGGAAAGTCCTTTGAAACTCATTCTAGTCTTCCTTGGGTATAGGAGTACTTGGATTATTGTTGAAAGAAAAATTAGCTTATAGTCTTGTATTTAAATATACATATATATATTCGTATTTCTGCTAAATTATTTATGGTAGTTTATTTTTTTCCATTTTATCTACATACTGGATTCTCAAGTTGATTATTAATACTGCCTATATACTTATTAGGCATAATTTCAGTGCTTTATCTTTAAATGATAAATTCCATTTTAGTTTCTTGACATTTTATACTTCATTGTTATGAATTGCCTTGTTATTTTTTGCAGTCTTATATTGAAATGTATCAGAAACTATAATGTAAAAAGTTGAGTAGAAATCTTATAATTAAAAGTTGTGGCAAGTCATGGAAATGGCTGTGTTTTTATTGCCATTTTGATGATTTTGATGGCAAAAGTTTTGAGAAAAAAAGGTCTTTAGATTCACAAGATAAACAGAAAGAGTGAAATATCTTAAGGCTTGGAAGGGCATGTAGAAGTTATAATTATTGTATAGATTCACAGTCCTTGTATTGAAATACTCACCTTTGCTATTATGCTGCAGGCCATAGAGCGAGAAAAAGCCGAGAAGTTCAGAAAACTGCAAGATGCCAGCAGATCATCTCAGGCCCTGGTGGAACAGATGGTGAATGGTAATTACACAAGTTGATTTAGATAATCTTCTTAGGGGTTTGATAAACCACATAGGTTCATATTTATCAACTGAATTATATCAGACCAATACTTCTTGAATGCAAATTTAAATTAAAAGGAGTGTGTATGTTTTTTATTCTTTTTTAATGCTAAACAAATTATTAGGAGAAATTCAACTTTGAGTCCATTGGAAGAAAATGGAATGTGGTATAATATTTGATCAATCTGTTGCAGGGAAATAACTTTTAATGCAAACCCTGCTAGCATTTGTCCAAGTGATTTAAGAAAATAAGGTTTACAGAAATTTGATGATGTTAATAATCACATTATATATGTAAAAGTGATCATAATCTGATTTTAAATCATTTTTGCAATATATTTTTCCAAACAGACTAAAATTATCTGGAAGGATTTTAATCTTCATTTCTGTTTCCTAATAACATATGTGACATTTTCTGTTACTTTTTATCACTTTCTCTCATTTAAAAAAAGGTCTTTTTGGGATAACCCTTACTTTTTAACTTTTTTGAAGTGAGGTAAAAGCACATAGCTAGCAAAGCTTTTGTCTTTCTTTTTCAAGAATAAATTAAAATTAATCTTTGTTAATACTCAGTGCCTTGAAAGCTATGTGTACAAAATTAGTCATTGTCATGATATGTAAACAACCTACTTTCAAATTGTCATTGCTCTACTATTGCATTTCCAGACAAAAGTAATTTTATGAAAATCAGGCATAATGCTGTTTCCAAATAAGATTATTTTTCATTTTGCAAAACATAGGTTTACGTGAACATCATAAATAAATATAACAAATGTTTTTGTTGTGTATGTCAGCTTCTCCCAGAATCTGCTTGCATTTGAGGTCATAAATTCTGTGTATAAGTTTTTTTTGCCTTAATTGCAATTTTGGCATTAAAAACTTCAATGGTCTTCCTAGGAAATCGATTAATTTTCTTCTTCTAATGAGTCCCATGACTGACTGTTTTCTGTTAAAAATGAAAACAAGCAAATATAACAGCTGAATATTGAGTGAACAAGTTAAAGAACAGAAAATGAAAATATTAATAGATTTTTATTTACATGTATGTTACTTTGTAATTTTAACTGGTGAATTTAACAGCGTATTCATGTTAAATAAAATTATGTGATGTTAAAATATTCTTTACGTTGGTATGTAAGTTCCCTCTAAAAACTGTTACCAATTTTTCATTTTAATAAGCTGATGCAAGAGCTATACTTTAAATGGTCTCATTTCTTAATTATATATCAAGATTACCTCACTTTAGATCATCTGATAGCAACATACACTGAATTATTCAGAAACAATTTAAATGTTTAGAAATTAAGGGACTGATTTTGAATTTTTGGTAAGTAAAACTATATGCAGTGACAATATTAGTTTTCTAGATTATTTCCCTCATAGTTCTAATTTTTAGAGGCATGTACAAAAATCAGGACGTGTAATAGTTCCTTAATAAATATCATTTACTAACCAAAATGTAAATGACTAACCAAATTCTGTTTAGCAAAGCAAATTAAGGCAGTCATGGAGAAAGTGACATTGGTAATTTTGGTGTGAAAATAATTAATAATATATCTGAAGGAAAATCCTAACATTGAACAGGTACCAGAGAGCACTGTGGGGTGAGCATGTGATTTGAGACATTCCTGTTTGGTTAACTCTATTGATCAAACTTTATGCTATCTATTTGTTCTACCTTTAAAGATATGGTCTAACTGATATATCATTAGGCTCAAGTTTGGGCCATAACTAGGATAACTATTTAAAATAACCATAAATCTGTTTCCTTATTAAATAAAACACTTTATGAAATTACTAAAAAAAGGCTCAAATATTGTAACGTATCTATTCTTCTATTGTCTTTCAAAGAAAAAATTGCATAATATTTATTTTGTGTGAGTGTGCAATTTGTGAGATGAGCTAGACACACACTAAGTGCCTGGAGTACCTCTTCAGGTGTATTTCAAGGGACTGCTACCTTAAATCATAATAGCTCCTTTAGTATAGAGCCCAAAACTAGAGTTAACTGGTGTGGCTCATAAAGCTGAAAGGCAAATTAAGCTTTCCGTAAACTAGAATTCCAACAATTATTGTATTAAAGCTCTTAAATTTGTAAGTTCAGAATCTTCCTTCTCAAGCTTAGGCTATGGAGATATAATAAATCTCACAACCGTGCAAGACACATACACTCTTGTCCGTTTTTTATAGAAACGAAAATGAGAGCTGAATCAGTGTACTTCATTTAGGACCTCGTGTAAATGGCAGTTCCTTTTAGCCACGTGTAGTTTCCTCAAAAATTAAGATGAAGATAAATCACTCTTGGCCTGGCACAGTGGCTCACACTAGTAATTCCAGTACTTTGAGAGGCTGAGGCAGGCAAATCATGAGGTCAGGAGTTCAAGACCAGCCAGGACAACAGAGTGAAACCGCATCTCTACTTAAAATAAAAAAATTAGCTGGGCATAGTGGTGGCGCCTGTAATCCCAGCTACTCAGGAAGCTGAGGCAGGAGAACGCTGGAGGCAGAGGTTGCAGTGAGCCAAGATCATGCCACTCCACACCAGCCTGGGCGACTGAGCTAGACTCTGTCTCAAAAAAAAAAAAAAAAGATAAAGAAAAGATAAATCACTGTTGTAGAATGTTATCTTATTATGCTACTAATAAAATATATATATTATAAATATATGTATATATATATTTATATATAAATTTGAGGTATGCTTACCACAATGAAAACATTTAACATACATTCATACTGTAAAAATACGTAGAATTACATAAGCTATACATAAGTATAGCTATTACATATTTAAAAAATTCTATGAACTATATTTTATGTGTGTCTATACTGGTACATGCATAACAAACTGAATTTTCTACTTAAAATAATTTGCCCTAAGGTTATATTACTTTTTAAAAATTTAGAATAATTTCATAACTCTTCAATCTGCTTTCAGAATAAAATTCCAAGATGGAAAAAATAATTTCTTGTAACTTAAATTTTACTTTATTTTCGACCTGAAATGATACATCAGGTGTATTTCCTTCCAAATGATTTTTGTCTGTTTCTAAATATCTATGAAGCAATGAAGATTTAACATCACAAGTAATGCAGAAAGCAAAATCTATTTGTCCTGAAGGCAATTTCTTGAAAGAATTTAAGAAATGTGCTAAGAATTTTACAGTAATAATTTATATATTAAGAGTTGATAATAAGAGATCTAATTTATTTGGACTTTTAAACCAAAATAGGAGTTGGCCAAATTGCCTGCCTACTTTAAAACTATACATGGATATTTTCCTTGTGGTTGTTCCAGTTTTGTTGGTCAGAGTGTAAGTTATCTTTCATGATGATAGACTAAAAAGAGAAGCTACTAAACGAAGAGTTTTAACTGAAAAAGAATCTAGCATTTTGGCATGGAATTTGGTATGGAATAATTTTTAACTGATTTATTTCTATCTCAGCAGTGTTTTTTGTTTGAACTAACATTAAAATTGATTTACTGTTCTTATTTCATCATTAATTGGTTGTATAAATATGACAGAATATTGGATGGTGCAAAGTACTTCTTTTTACTGGAGACATTTTTGGATAGCTAAAATTTTCATGCAGCTTCCCCTCAATATGTAAGATTAGGATCAAAACCCTGGTCTCAAGAAATTGTTAACTTAATTAGGGCAAGTGAAAGGCCAGATCAGATACCTAGTGATGTAATTGAAAGATGCAATTTAACTTTATTTAAGGTTTATTTTTACACTTCTTAATTTAAATGCAAAATGTTGTAAATAATTTAGAAATTTAGAAAAATGTAGCTAATAACTATAGTAAGTAATCTTTCTAATGCTTTAATAATATTGCTAACTAGTAATGTTTTCTGCTATTTTAGTTTGAGCAGTTTTTAAACTGATGCTTAACAAGACCAAAGCCTTTCAGTCTATTATTGAGATTGTGGAGTTTTAGAATATCTAGGACTAAAATAATATACATGTGATTATACCTAAACATATGTCTATTGTAATCTGTTTAGGATTAGACTTAATCCTTTTTATAAAATAGTGTTCTTGTATGAGTACATGCAGTCTAATCAACCAGGTATAACACAAAGAGCCTTTACCCAAACATAATCATATCAAAACACTTATTTGAAAACCTATATAAGCACAGCTCAGGTTCTCCTTTAGTTTATAAGATGCTTTCACCACAATTTCTAGAGGAACTACTATAATTATCTAATATTGTTAGTGGTGTTTTCTACATTAAATTGTAGTTCATTTTCAATTGCTATGTGTAATTTTTTGCGTGTTAATAAGAGTCTAAAGACAATCACATTAAGGACATGTTTAAATAAAAGTGGTAATTATTAGTATATTAGAGTAAAGAACATCTCAAAACTATCATTCCCTGAGTGCTAGATTATAGTGTTTAAGGTGATACCTAATGATAAGTATGCTAACTGTTGCAATTAAATAGCGGAGAATGATAACACTGACGAGGGCTCTTCTTATCCATAACATTAACCAAGTAACTATATTTTTTCTTGTATTTTGGTTCATAACTTAATTCACGTGAAATTAGAGAATTTTATCTAACTTTAAACCACTTTATCTAAACTAGGCTCTTCGTGTTATACCTGATTGATTAGACTACATGTACTCATGCAAGAACACTATTTTACAAAAAGGATTAAGTCTAATCCTAAATAGATTAAAATAGACATATGTTTAGGTATAATCACATGTATATTATTTTAGTCCTAGATATTCTAAAACTCCACAATCTCAATAAAATTAGATAATTTCACAAGAATTATGTTATTTGAGTTTGGGCAACAGCATTTTGTCAGATGAGTGAGGGTAGGGATTATAATCAGTTTGGCTCATCTCAAAGCTAAAAACTCTCATGATCACTGAAAAGATTTTTAGGAACAGCAGCTCTTCTAATCACATATTTTAATAGCAAGACATTTTGCAAATAGTC